TGGGTTATAGTCTAGTCCAAAGTCTAGTCTATATTCTAGTCCAAAGTCTAGTCTATATTCTAGTCCAAAGTCTAGTACAAAGCCTAGTCTATAGTCAAGTCTATAGTCTAGTCTACAGTATTGTTTAAAGTCTACGGTCAAGTTTATATTCTAGTCTACAGTGTGATCTATATTCTTGTATAGTCTAGTGTATAGTATATATTCTAATCGATAGTCTAGGCTATAGTCTAGGCTATAATCTAGTCTATAAACTACTTTTTAGGGTTGTCGAGTATATAGTACAGTTTACAGTCTAATCAATTGTCTAGTCAGTAGCGTAGTCTGTACTCTGGTGTATAGTGTGATATATAGCCTTGTTTAAAGTCTACAGTCTAGTTTATAGTCTATACTATGGTCTAGTATATAGTCTATATTCAAATCAATAGGCTAGTTTGTATTCTAGTTTATATAGTCAATAGTATAATCTACAATCTAGTATATTTATAGTGTAGTCTAATCTATTGTATACTTTATAGTCTAATCAATAGTGTAGTCAATAGCCTAGTCTGTAGTCTGGTCTGTAGTTAGGTCTATATATATAGTTTATTGTCTATAGTGTAGTTTACAGTCTAGTCTATAGTCTAGTATATGGTCTAATATACAGTCTGGTATATAGTCTAGTCTGAGGCGATCTTACATTAACTTTCAAAACTTACTGAAAGCCTTAAAGCTTTTTGCTTAATTCGTATCCGTCGACAAATTTTCTATTAAAATCCCAAAAGTATATGTAAGTAATAATGAAACATAGAACTTACCTTATTTTGATGTTTTTCGGATGTTAGTTGTAGTAAGATTTTAAGAAATTTTTAAAATTTTCTTCATATTTTATCATTTTGTTTCAGTATAAGCTGGAACTTTCGGACACCCTTGCATTGTGGGATTAATTTTTAATATTTTAAAACTAGTTTCTTTTATTTTTTAATAAATTAATACTTTTTTATCACAAATTTTTTAATTTTTTTATTTTCTTCTAGCAGACCGGCATCATTCGGACACCTTGACTTATTGCTTAATTGCTTTCATATTTTTCTTAAATTTTAAACTTTTTTACACTATTTTTCAAAAAAAAAAAAAAAAAAAAAACTTAATACTTTTAACATTTTCAACACATTACTTTTTTATATCAATAATATTACTTAAATATTTAAACTTTTCTGCAAAATTTTATACATTTTGGTAACAGAAGCACTTGCCTTACATTTTCATTCATTAACTTAGAAATTTTCAAGATTTTCTTGCCAATTTCTATTGCTTTTAAGTAAACAATTTTGTTTACTATTAATTTACACACTTTTATATCAGCTTTCTTTATTTATTCCTTGAAATTTTACAAATTTAATCATTTTCAGTAACCGGAGCCACTTGCTTTTGATTTTCTTTTCAATATTTACAATATTTTAAAGATTTCATACCAATTTCTATTGATTTTTTATAAACAATTTTGTAATTTCTTATTTGCCACACTTTTGTGATAATTTTCTTTATTTATTTCTTAAAATTTTATAAATTTAACAATTTTTTTTTATAATTTTCCTTAACCGGATGCAGTTGCGTTTCGTTTTCATTCAATAGCTTTTATATTTTCGTGATTTCTTTCAAATTTCTTTTAATTTTCAATGAACTATATTGTTTACTCTTAATTTCCACACTTTTTTAACAATTTACTTATTTATTTCTTTAAAATTTCACAAAATTCTTAAATTTATGGTTATTTCTGCAATTTTTCTGTATTTTCTTTTCTTAACTAAAATATTCCCGCTATTTTGCATGACATTCAAGAGGTTGCCATATGCTTTTATAGTTTAACAGTGTTGCATTGCTATATTATGGCATTTGAACAAGAGTAATCATCTGGTAACGTTTAATATTTTATCATTACTCCTCAAGTGACAGAAAAAATAAATTGAACTGCAGCAAGAAAAAAAAAGCGCGTCACCTATTAGTTTTTCATTTGTGTTTTTTCTAATAAAATAAAAAGGTATTAAAAACTAATAATTAAAGAAAACTACAGTTTATTAATGAAATTTGATTAGTGTAAATAAAAATATATTTAAAAGTAAACAAAAAGCTAAGAAATTCAACATTAACAAACAAGCCTGATTAGTTCGAGAAGTTGTATGAAAAAAAAAAAATGGCTGCTCTTGTGGCTGATACAAAAAATTAACATAATTGCGGCTTTTAAAGAGACTTAAAGTTAAATAAATTTTATTATAAGGATTCTAATTAAACAATTAACAAGTTGTTTTGTGTTTTCTTAAATAATTTCTAGTTTATTTGTTTGTTTTAATAAATAAAAAAATTTTGAGGTTATGTTTGTTTTTGTGGAAATTTAACCCGCAGACACTTTCACCTGGATGCGTGGCTTCTTTTAAGCAATTTGTTTAATTTTATTTTTAATTTTATATTTAAGACAATGGCTGATTCCGATGATGAGTACGATCGCAAGAGACGCGATAAATTCCGTGGCGAACGCAGCTCGGGGGATAGTTATCGTTCTGAAAGACGTGATGATAGGCGTGGTGGCGGCAGCGGCGGTGGTCGTGATGATTGGCCGGAAAGGTTGGTATATTGTTATATTCTTAAACAAGAACAGTTAAACAAATTAACACTTTTTCTTTATTAGAGGTAATCCATTTAGAGGAGGAGCTGCCAGTAGAGCACGTTCCGATTACCGAGATTTTCGTGGTCCCCGTGACCGCTACGGTTCACCCGGCCGAGAAATGCCACCAGCTAAACGTATGCGTCAAGATTGGGGTGATGATTTAAGAGGAAATCCCAGATTTGGACGTAAGTTTACTAAAAAAAAGTCAAACGTAAAGTGTTAACATGTTTTTGTTGCAATTTTTAGCCTATGATCCTTATCTTATGCATGCCTGGAATGAACATTAGCTGCCCATGGTTTACATGGTGCCTATAGTGCGGCTCTTTCCCATAGTGTTCATTCGCGTGAGTCAGCTGCCAATACCGATCTACAAACACAACCCGCCATGATGACTTTAAAACAATTCTTGGATACACAAGATGATGGCATTTCGGATACTGAAGTTTTACGCAAATACAATGAATATAAATTGGAATTTAAGCGTCAACAATTAAATGAATTCTTTGTGGCCCATAAGGATGAGGAATGGTAAGTCTAAGATGCCAAATACTTTAAACAAAAAAAAAAAAAAAAAGGAAAATCTTTAAGCCAATTAATTGGCGGCATCATTTTAACAGGTTTTAGGTGTAAAAAGGATGGAAAATATACAAATTTTCTTAATCAATCTGGAATTTTCTACCTTTTTCTAACACCTACACCTGGTTTTTGCTATAATGATGCTTTTAATTATAACTTTTCTTTACAACTTTTTCCTTTTTATTACAAGTTTTTAAACATTTTACCATTTTTTAATTATATTTATACTTAAAAAAACATATTATTTGTTTTATGCAAATTTTATTGTTTGTGTTTTTTTAAAAACTAAGTTTTTCTCTACAGCTATTTAAGAATGGCGTCCTTAAGGTCTGCCACCTCAGCCACACTTATATATACTTACATAACTAGGATGGTTGTTTAATGAAAGAAAAGCAAAGCGCACATGTCCCCCAAAAGACAAAGATTCTATACTACACTCTACCTACTACTACCAACCAACCAACCAAAACACCTACTACCCAAAAATTGTTGTTGTTGTTTATATAGAATCCATGTGCTGCTCTAACTTTTATCACTATCATACAGAAATCGTTGTATTATAAACGATTAAATGATGATATTTTATCTTCTACTTCTAACTTTTGTTTTATTTGTTTTTGCACTTGGCGAGCAATGCCATAGTGTGTTTAAATTACTTTTTTGAACCGCGTTTTTATTAAAATCGTTTAAATAAATTTCCGTAACGTCTATTAACTTGAACATAATTTCGGTATATGTAAAGGTAAGATTTGGTAAATTCAGTTTAATTAATTTACAAACAAAAAAATCTATAAAAAAAGATAATTTTTAGCTGTTAAAACAAACTTACAAAACTGGAGCTAGCTGTGTGTTTCCAAACGAATGGTATTGAGCAACGTTGGTTTCGTGAACAATTTATTATATAACGATATATATTTTATATAAATGGCTTAAGACTTTATTTCTTTATGAAAACTAATGTTTCTTTTTCTATTTTTTTTTGTTTTTCTTTTTTTCTCGGCGTTTAGGTTCAAGAACAAATATCATCCTGTGGATAGTGTTAAACGTAAGGAGGAACAATTGAATTTCCTAAAGGTAAGTAGAAAACATCAATATAGACTAGACTGTGGACTAGATAAGACCATTAACTGCACTATAGACTAGTCTATACTATAGAGTAAACTATAGACTAGACTATACCACAGATTATACTACAGACTAGATTATAGACTATACTAAAAGCAAACTGTTTTCCCTTCTCTTATAGAGACGCGTTGAGGTTTTCGATGATTTGCTAAAGAGTGGCATGATCGAAAAAGTTTCCGTGGATACCACACAAACTGAACCTCTATTACGTGTTTTAGACACGGTGGTCATTAAACTCGAAGGCGGTACCGATGATGATCTTAAAATACTCGACGAAAAGCCGAAAGAAGCCTCGTATCCAGAACGTGTCTTTGACAAGAAAAACGACAATGATGATGATGTCATTATAACATCGGTGGAAAAGAAACATAATGACGAACCAAAATGTGTTTCGCCACGGCCCATTAATCGCCATAAGAAGGGATCAGATGATGAAGACAATTGGGATGAAGAGGAGAATGATGAGGAAAGTGCTAAAACAAAAGCCAAAGAGAAATCCGAAGAGAAAAAGAAGAAATCTATAAAACGTAAAAGAACTAGTTCGGATTCGTCATCTTCCTCGTCATCGGATTCAGATTCTAGCAGTTCATCGTCGAGTAGTGAAGATGAGGATGATGAAAAGGTTAAGAGTAAATATGATTTAGAATCTTTGAAAAAGAAGATGATGTAGAGATGGAAGACAAGAAAAAGGAAGAAGAAAAGATGGAGGAAGACAAAGAAGAGGAGAAAGAAAAGGAAGATTCCGAAGAGAAAAAGGAAGAAAAGGAGGTAACAAATGATGAAGAAACTAAGGATAAAGAAGAGGTTAAAGAAAATGGCGAAGAAACCGAAAGTAAAGCCTTAACAAATGACGCAGAAGAAAAACCTGAAAAACTAGAAGGTGAAGAAAAATCTGAAGATAAAAGTGCAGATACTTCTTTAGAAGAAGACAAAGAGGAAAAGAAAGAGGAAGCAGAAAAAGAAGAGGCTAAATTGGAAGAAGAAGAAAAAGCCAAGGATGAAGAACAACCTGAAACTATAGATTTGGACAAGGTTAAGGATGGACCACAACCAAGAGCATTACATCGCACCTCTTCCATATTCTTGCGTAATTTGGCACCCTCCATAACCAAGGCAGAAATCGAGGCGGTGTGTCAAAAATTCGATGGTTATTTACGTGTAGCTATAGCCGATCCTTTGGTAGAAAGACGCTGGTATCGCCGAGGCTGGGTGACCTTCAAACGTGATGTTAACATCAAAGAAATCTGTTGGAATTTAAATAATACACGTCTGCGTGATTGTGAAATGGGAGCCATCGTCAATCGTGATCTAAGTCGTAGAGTAAGACCTGTAAATGGCATGACCGCACACAAGACCATAGTACGAGCAGACATTAAGTTGTGTGCTAAAATCGCAATGAATTTGGATGAGAAATTTAAGTTATGGGTAAGTTAAAATAGCATCTAGAACAATTATTGAACAATATTTAATGTTGTGCTACTTACAGCAAGCTGAAAAGGAAGAAAATAAAGAAGAAAATGCCTCTAGCGCCACCGAAGCCAATGCCTCAACAGCCCCAGATGCCAATAACGAGCTTAACAATTCTTCCTCTTCGTATGGTTTCAAAACTAATAATCCTGTTTTGCAAAACATTACCGATTTCCTAATCGAAGAAGCCTCCGCCGAAGAGGAAGAACTTTTGGGAATCTCGGGTGACAACAAGGACTCGGAAGGAGAAGCCATCGAAAGAGATCCTCAGCTGCTAACAGTACTCGACAATCTTATCTTATATTTGCGTATTGTACACTCAGTAGACTTTTACAATCACTGTGAGTATCCCTATGAAGATGAAATGCCCAATCGTTGTGGCATTATACACGCTCGCGGTCCACCACCAGCTAAAGTTTCTCAGAACGATATGCAAGATTATATTAAAAATTTCGAAAGTAAAATGCAAACTTTCCTTGCCAAGAGCACACCCATCGAAGAGGAAGAATTGAAAAATCTTGGCAGCAAAGATACCGAAGCCGAAGTAGAGAAATTCATTCAAGCCAATACCCAAGAATTGGCTAAAGACAAATGGTTGTGTCCCCTGTCCGGCAAGAAATTCAAAGGTCCCGAATTTATACGCAAACATATATTCAATAAACATGCCGAAAAGGTTGAAGAGGTGCGCAAAGAAGTTGAATTCTTTAATAATTATCTTAAGGATCCCAAGAGGCCACAATTACCAGAACATCCTGGTAATAATAAACGTACAACGTCGGAATCCAGTGGAGGTTACAGAGCACCTGTATATCCACCCGCTTACGCACCACCCTATGCAGCTTATGCACCACCTCTTATGATACCAGGACGTGGTGCTCGGGGTTTTGGTGGTCCAGGACGCAGGTAAATATTTGTCATTGAAATTTTTGTAATGTAGTTGTATTTTGTTTGTTGTAATTTTTTTTTGGAGGAGGGTGTAGCAGTTAAGTAAGTTAGATATTTAATGCATGTAAAACAAAAGTTGCTTAAAGTAATGGTGAAAGTTATATAAGATGTTGAACAGGGCGCTTAAGAAGTTTGATTAGATTTGCTTTATAGGCTATACTAAAGACTGATCGCTAGACGAGGCTATAGACGATATATAAACTATAGACGAGACTATAATCAGGTCTAAAGATAATACTATACACTGATCTTTAATCTGGTTTATAGATGATACTATACACTGATCTCTAGTGTGGTCTATAGACGAGACTGTAGGCTGATCTACAGTTTGATCTAGACTGATCTATAGACTGAACTATAGACGAGACTGAAGACTGATCTGTAATACTGTATATAAACGAGACTGATCTATAGTCAGGAGTTTAGACTCATCTATAGTCGGGACAATAGACTGATCTATAATCTGGAGTATAGACTGATCTATAGTCCAGTAGACTGAGCTATAGACTGATCTATAGTCTGGACTATAGACTGATCCATAGTCTGGACTATAGACTGATCTATAGTCTGGACTATAGACTGATCTAGAGTCTGGACTATAGACTGATCTAGAGTCTGGACTATAGACTGATCTAGAGTCTGGACTATAGACTGATCTAGAGTCTGGACTATAGACTGATATATAGTCTGGACTATAGACTGATCTATAGTCTGGACTATAGACTGATCTATAGTCTGGATTACAGTCTGATCTATAGTCTGAACATTAGACTGATCTATGGACTGGACTATAGACTGATATATAATCAGGGCTATATACTGATCAATAGTTTGGACTATAGAGTGATCTATATTCTGGCCTATAGACTGATCTATAGTCTGGACTATAGACTGATCTATAGTCTGGACTATAGACTGATCTATTGTCTGGACTACTGACTGATCTATAGTCTGATCTGTAGTCTGGACTGTAGACGGATCTATAGTCTGGACTATAGACTGATCTGTAGTCTGGACTATAGACTGATCTATAGTCCCTACTCTAGACTGATCCATAGTCAGCACTATAGTCTGATCTATAGTTCGAACTATAGTCTGAACTATGGACTGATCTGATAATTAGGAAATTTCTCCATAGGATATCCTTCTCTTATTTGCTATTTTTGGGTCTACGCTTCTTTAATATTTATTTTAAAATCTAAACTGTTTTTTTTTATCCTAAAACTATATTTTCTAAAAAAAGAACAACTTTTTTATTACTATTATTATTATTTTTGTGTGTAAACTTTTTTACAGAGAATTGCCCATAGAACATCAACGTCGTATAATCGGTTATCATGATTTGGATGCTCCAGCCAATTTTGATATTTTCGACTAAATTGAAAAGAAAATGTTTAATAGAAGTTGGTTGTTAATGATGGTGTTTTTGTGTCTGTGTGTGGCTCCTACTACTATCTATCTATAAAATTTAAAGTAGAAAATGTTTTCCAAACTATAAATCGGCACTTTTTTTTAAACAATTTGACCAACCGGCCGTGTTTGTGTTCTATTTAACTTTTAGATTTTCTGTAAATTTGTTTAAACTTTATTAATTTTCTTCTTTTTTTTTCTCTTGTAATGTGTGGTACCATTTAACTGTTTTATCTTTAATTTAATTAGAGAAAATTTATTTTTTAAAAAACAAATTTCATTTCCAAACAATTATTTTTTTAAATATTTAATAGTAATGGTAATATTTTAATATTAATAACAATAGTGTAGTGTTATGAAGCAAAATAAACTAACTTTAATAATAATATTTCATTAAAATAATAAATAAAACCAAAAAAACCTAAACTACATGGAAATGTAGTGAAAAAGAAAACGAAGATATAACAGGACAAGTGAGAATATAAAGGAGACTAAAGAGAGGTATTAAGAATGACCGATTGGTCAAACTATAGAGTCATCTACAGACTATAGACTGATCTACAATCTGGTCTATAGATAATATTACAGACTGCTCTATAATCTGGTCTATACGGGAGACTATATACTGATCTATAGGCGAGACTATAGACTGATCTATAGTGTGGTCTATAGGCGAGACTATAGACTGATCTATAGTCTAGTCTATAAGCGAGACTATAGACTGATCTTTAGTCTGGTCTATAGGTGAGACTATAGACTGATCTATTGTCTGGTCTACAGGCGAGACTATAGACTGATTTATAGTCTGGTCTATAGGCGAGACTATAGACTGATCTATAGTCTGGTCTATAGGCGAGACTATAGATTGATCTATAGTCTGGTCTATAGGCGAGACTATAGATTGATCTATAGTCTGGTCTATAGGTGAGACTATAGACTGGTCTATAGGCGAAACTTAGACTGATCTATAGTCTTATCTATAGACCATACTATAGGTTAGTCTCGCCTATAGACCAGACTATAGATCAGTCTATAGACTCGCTTATAGACCAGACTATGGATCAGTCTCTAGTCTCGCCTATGGACCAGACTATAGATCAGTCTATAGTCTCGCCTATATACCAGACTATGGATCAGTCTATAGTCTCGCCTATAGACCAGACTATAGATTAGTCTATAGTCTCGCCTAAAGACCAGACTATAGGTCAGTCTATAGTCTCGCCTATAGACCAGGCTATAGATCAGTCTATAGTCTCCCCTATAGACCAGACTATAGATCAGTCTATAGTCTCCCCTATAGACCAGACTATAGATCAGTCTATAGTCTCGCCTATAGACCAGACTATAGATCAGTCTATAGTCTCGCCTATAGACCAGACTATAGATCAGTCTTTAGTCTCGCCTATAGACCAGACTATAGATCAGTCTATAGTCTCGCCTATAGACCAGACTATGGTCTATAGGCGAGACTAACCTATAGTATGGTCTATAGATAAGACTATAGATCAGTCTAAGTTTCGCCTATAGACCAGTCTATAGTCTCACCTATAGACCAGACTATAGATCAGTCTATAGTCTCGCCTATAGACCAGACTATAGATCAGTCTATAGTCTCGCCTATAGACCAGACTATAGATCAGTCTATAGTCTCGCCTATAGACCAGACTATAGATCAGTCTATAGTCTCGCCTATAGACCAGACTATAGATCAGTCTATAGTCTCGCCTATAGACCAGACTATAGATCAGTCTATAGTCTCGCCTATAGACCAGACTATAGATCAGTCTATAGTCTCGCCTATAGACCATACTATAGATCAGTCTCTTATCTATAGTCTGGTCTATAGGCGAGACTATAGACTGATCTAGAGTCTGGTTTATAGATGCGATTATAAATTGATATATAGTCTTGCCTACAGTCTCGCTATACTATAGACTGATCTACAATCTGCTCTATAGACAAAACTATAGACAGATCTGTAGTCTGGTTTATATACAAGACTAAAGACTGATCATAGTCTGGACTGTAGACTGATGTATAGACTGTTCTATAGACCTATATATAGATTGATATATAGTCTGGTTTAGAAAATGATCTATAGTCCGGCTTATATACTGATCTCTCCATTCAATAAAGTAAAAAACTCTTTATTGTATTGCCACTGTCCAGTTTAATAATTTCATTTAATTTTTATCAAATCTTATTTCTTTCTTCTTGTCATTTATATTTTTAGACCTGGTAATGAATATCGTCAAATCATCCAATACCGAGACTTGGATGCTCCACAAGATCCCATTGATATGTTTAATTAATTATTTAAAACAAACAATTTGTGCAACAAACAAAAAATTATTTTATGTATTCTACTATAAAAACAAAAACAACAAAATATTGACTCTGTTTATAATAAATTATAACTATATAAATACACTTTTGTCGCTGCTGATCTAAATAAGGTTTTTATATACTATATATAATTTATAAATATTTTATTTTCTTTAAACACTCTCCATTAAACTTTAATCAATAAAATATCCACATATTCCAAAGCCTTTTTAACACGATCACTTAGCTTACTACCCGCCACATTGTCCAATTCTTTTTCCAGTACCATTACCGCCTTTTGTAAATGATCCTTGGCCTGCAAATAAAGCTTCTTCTCCTCGTCTTTTTGATTGTTTAAACGTTTTGCTTGTTCCAGCAGAACAGTATGCATTTCATATAGAATTATACCCACATATATGGAGAGACGTATTGTGTAGGGATCTAACTTTTGACAAATCTCATATAGATCCTGACACATTGTTAGTTTTTTGTTTAATTGTTCTTCCGATAATTGTTGCATTTTATAGCCCAATTCATTGCCATAGAGTTGAATGAGTGAATGCTTCAAACTGAACATATGATAATGATTTGGATGCAAAAATGTAGACAATTTATCGATAAGACTTTCGACTTGTTTGAGCGTGGGTTTGCGTGCCAACAGGGATTCAACTTCTTCGGTCATTTGGGTTAAAAGGTAACGGACCTGAAAAGAAAGTGATAGAAATTAAAAGGTTTACAGACTAGTCTATATGAACTAGTCAGTCTAGTCACACTAGACTGAACTATGAACTGATTTATAGTCTCGACTATTGACTGCACAGATCTATAGTCTGGACTTTAGACAGATCTATAGTCTGGACTTTAGACAGATTTATAGTATAGACTATAGACAGATCTATAGTCTGAACTATAGAATGACAGATCTATAGTCTGGACTATAGACAGATCTACAGTCTGGACTATAGACAAATCTATAGTTTCGAATACAGACAGATCTATATTGTGGATTATAGACTAGACAGATCTATAGTCTGGACTACAGACTGATCTTTAGTCTGGACTATAGACTGATCTATAGCCTGGACTATAGACTGATCTATAGTCTGGACTATAAACTGATCTATAGTTTGGACTGTAGACGGATCTATAGTCTTGACTATAGACTGATCTATAGTTTGGACTGTAGACTGATCTATAGTGTAGACAATAGACTGATCTATAGTCTGGACTATGGGCTGATCTATAGTCTGGAAAAACTTGTCTTCCACAACATTTTCTATACGAAAACTTGTGCCCCACAATATTTTCTATACGAAAACTTATCTACTACAACATTTTCTATAGAAAAACTTCTCTACCACAACATTTTCTATAGAAAAACTTGTCTACCACAACATTTTCTATAGAAAAACTTGTCTACCACAACATTTTCTATAGAAAAACTTGTCTACCACAACATTTTCTATAGAAAAACTTGTCTACCACAACATTTTTTATAGAAAAACATGTCTACCACAACATTTTCTATAGAAAAACTTGTCTACCACAACATTTTCTATAGAAAACTTGTCTACATTTTCTATAGAAAAACTTTTTACGTTAGACCCATGAATTCACCTCTTCTCCACTGATAACCATTGGACATTTATTACACAACCAATCGGTTTTACTATCCAAAGGATCCTTGGGCAACTGCAATCCATCACAATCAACACCAACATCACCCACACATCGCAAGGCATTGAAATTTGTGCCCATCTCCGTGGGATCATGACAACGTTCACAACTGCAGCGAAAATGTTTTGTAATCATCAAGTGTTCATGACGCATTTGTGTGGCCCACAACATATTCGAGTACATAATCTTTAAATGTTCACCCTTTTTAATGTCACGACCAGCAATAACCGTAATGCGGAAACCATTGCGCTGATCAAATTGAAAATAACAATTGGGAAGGCAAGAATGTTCCATCATGCAGGCCGTATAGAAAACACCGCTCAATTCTAGGCCGGAAGACAAACTAATGCACATATAGTTGGTCTCGATTATGCCACATATGCGATGTAATATGGCGCTATCATATTCCGGCAAATGTTTTTCTTTGGATTTTTGTTCCACCGCTTTTAAAGGTTGCAAAAAGTTACGCTGCAAATAGGAGACAATGCGTTGTTCGGCATCTCTGGGAGTTTGGAAAGAGAATTACTTTAAGGAAACAGTTTTTAGCTGATAATTACTTACTCATGCAATTCTGTGCCCTGTCTATCCTCCTCATGACTCTGCATGTCCATTAGTTCTTGCCATTTCTTGGGATTTTGTCTTTGTAATATCAAACATTTCAAAACTAACAAAGCATCCGAACGATAATAATCCATTAAAGCATTCATATCTGTCGTCGAAGTAGGACCAGAACCCAGCATTAGAATGCAACATTCTAAAGCATGTAAATTGGGATTCAACAAACCCTCACAGTCGGGAGAGCAACAAGGCCAATGGCATCTGCAGTTATAAAATCAAATAATTTTTGATAAATTCAAAATTTTCCAAAGTCTCACATACCTGGGACACTGATAGGCAGCCATACGACAGGGTGTATAACAGCCCACACAGGGCATAACCGGCACCTCTTGTTCTTTTTCCGTTAAATACCATTTGGGACCCACTACCAAAGGAGCTTCAGCGAATATAGCCGTTCCCGCCTTAATATCTTTTGTGGCCAATAGATAACGACCCAAAGTTGCATCATTGTCAATGCGAAAAGAACGGCATTCTTTCTTATGCTGCTTCCAATGCTGGCGCTGATGTTCCGCACTGCAGTATTTGACTATTTTGCAAGCGGAACAAACTTGTTTGGCCGGTATTTGACACACGGCACATGCATCACTAGAATCAGACATTTTCTTTAAATTTCAATAAAATTTCTTGAATTTTTATAAATTATTAACTTTTTAAAGAAAATTTCTACAATTTTTCTTTATTTTTGTGAGGGAGTATATTTTTAGACTTTTTAGAATGGCCGCTATATACACACAAGAACTAATAAAGTAGAACTAATAGGAAAATGTGTTAAAATGATCTTAAGAGATCACTCCCACAGAGAATTTTTGTTGTTTCGAAAAATAACGCAGGCGCAGTTTGAATGAAAACAAAATGATCACAATTAAGAAAATTTTGGAAAAGAACTCTATATAAACAAATGGGATTTCTCTTAAAATTTTAGTTTTTAAATATTTTCTATAAAAATTTTCCTTTTCTACCACATTTTCTATATAAAAACTTATCCAGCGCAACATTTTATATAGAAAAACTTATCCAGTACAATATTTTCTATAGAAAAACTTATCCAGTACAATATTTTCTATAGAAAAACTTGTCTTCCACAACATTTTCTAGTAAAAAACTTGTCTTCCACAATATTTTCTATTAAAAAACTTATCTCCCACAACATTTTCTATAGAAAAATTTGTCTTACACAACATTTTCTATAGAAAAACTTGTCTTACACAACATTTTCTATAGAAAAAATTGTCTTCAACAACATTTTCTATAGAAAAAATTGTCTTCAACATCATTTTCTATAGAAAAAATTGTCTTATACAACATTTTCTATAGAAAAACTTGTCTTACACAACATTTTTTATAGAAAAACTTGTTCAGCACAACATTTTCTATAGAAAAACTTGACTTACACAACATTTTTTATAGAAAAACTTGACTTACACAACATTTTCTATAGAAAAACTTTTCTTACACTACATTTTCTATAGAAAAACTTGTCTTCCACAACATTTTCTATAGAAAATCTTATCTTCCACAACATTTTCTATAGAAAAACTTGTCTTACACAACATTTTCTATAGAAAAACTTGTCTTACACAATATTTTCTATAGAAAAACTTCTCTTCCACAACATTTTCTATAGAAAAACTTCTCTTCCACAACAATTTCTATAGAAAAACTTCTCTTCCACAACATTTTCTATAGAAAAACTTCTCCTCCACAACATTTCTAAAGAAATTCTTCCATTCAACAATATTTTCTATAGAAAATCTTCCATTCCACTCAATTGAAAAATGAAACTTTCCATTTCCTTGCTTTAAAAAAAAAACTCAACAATAAATATTTTATTTGTTCATCAATTCCTTAACTCTATTTTATCCTGCTTCAACAGGAATGGATACTGCTCCAACACCTCCTTTTGTTCGCGCATATTTTTCACCACTCCTGCCAAATTCCAACCATGCCTCAGTAAAGCATTTTCCACTCCAAATTTACCATGTCGTATACATCTTAAGGCGGAACAGTGGGCCACCGATTTCAATTCTATGCCAATTTCATTGATTAATGTGGCCAAATACGCCTCCGTCTCATTGATGGCATGTATTTCTAAAGTAAAGTTAGGCTTTTGAAAGTCAATCAGTTTAATGCCATAAATAACAGGTTGACTATTATTGGCCGGCCGGATAAGACCTTTGCAAGCTATTTCATAGGCTGCCTGTGACTGCATATCCACACCACACAGCTCGAACATTTTACGTTGATGGGAGGCTTGTAGGGAGGAGGCCAGAGCACTTAGGCGATCTGCTTGAACATGCCTATAGTTGGCTTTGCAAATAACATGAGAATCGGGTAAATGTGTTTCAGTGGCTATACCCAGGCGCCCGGTAACATGATAGGCTCTTAGCGGGCGATTACGTTGGATGCGCATGGATTGCCTTAAACCTTTATTGAGGCCGAATACTAAAAGATGGGAAATGTTTAAAAATATGTTTTTAAGTTTTGTTTTCGTAAAACCTTACATAACACCCCACTGGTGTGTACACCCAAAGAGGCCACAGGACTGCAACGTATATCTTCTATTTCATAGCGTGGACCGGTGCTCAAAACACTTTCCGCTAAATTTAAATTGTTTATTTTGCGTAAAATGGGATCTGCTGCTCCTCCTGACTCCAGTAAAGGGGTTTGTGGCCTTTCAGGCTCTTTGTTAGAGTCCAAGTCATTTAGATCTGTGGTAATTGTAGAATTTGTAAAGGTTTTCTGTTAGCTTTTTATAAAAATTGCGACTTACCTCGACAAATATTATGTAAAATTGCAGATTTAACATGTTTCACTTTCATGCCAGCCGGTTTATAGACATTTATTAAACCATTTAGGTGTCGGAATACTAAGGAGGCATCTTGAACTTTGGTTAAAGACATATTTTAGGCCAAAATTTGTGGTTTAAATAAGGAATTTTTTAAAAATTGTAATTTTAGTTAAAGGATTTCTCAAAATTTTTGTTTTGTTTTTAAGCAACAGCTGTGTTTACATTCGCTAAATAAGGTGATGCCATATCATACCAAGGAAGAACAAAGGAAATGTTTAGCAAAATAAATACTTTTTTTTAATTATTTTAAAGAATTTTAGTTTTAAAAGTTTTTTTGTACTTGAAATTGTTCATTTTAATATCTATTTTTATTTCTTTCAGTTATTTTTTGTGTTTTATTTTTTGGCGATTTTTTTACTTGTACTTTGTTTTTAAGTGTTTGTTGGGCAACCTTGTTTGTGGCTGTGTTTAGTTGTTTTAAGTGATTTTATAAACAAGAGAGAGTAAACAGCTGTTTGTTTTTTTGCTGCTCTTAGCTTAGCACGTGTATTTTATTCTCTGTTTATAGTCGTTAACAATTGTTTTTTCGGGAAATTTCATAAATTTTTTAAAAATTAGTAAAAATCTAAGGCAGACAATATGAAGTGGACCACAGCGAATGTTAAAAATCCGAACTATATAGAAAATCATGAAATTTATGTGGGCACTCAAACAGGTTCCTTTAAAAGTAAGTTTTTCTTTAAATCCAATCAAATAAAACAAAAATTATTAATATTTTTGTTACAGAGCTAACACCAGCCTACCAGGAGAATCCTTTCCAACAGAGAAATCTACAAAATTTATCCGAATTAACTAAAGAATCCCGCATAAGCGCATTGGCCTTTGCCAATGAAAATAAATCGGAAATTTTAATAGGACGTCATCAAAAGACCGTACAAGTCCATTCGGTACGCACAGATCAACAACAATATTGTGTGGATTTTGAACATGCTCCCGTAGTGGGTTTGGCACGTTTTGATAATAGTATAGTGGCTGGTTTTAGCAATGGCCAGTTACAATGTTTGCCCGTTAATGAGGAAGGAGTAGATTCGTCTTTACATGGTTTTTCTTTAGACAAAGTGGGTGATGATATGGCTCATTTGAGACAGTGTTCGGTAGAACGTAATTTAGTGGCCATAGGTGGTAAGGGTAGACAAAATAACTTAAAAGTCTTGGATATGGCGGCCGAAGGTAAACAAGTGTTTTCTTCGAAAAATTTACCTAATGACTATTTGCAACTGGAGGTGCCGGTGTGGGATAGTGATGTGGGTTTCATAGACTCGCCTCATGTCTTGGCCACCTGTTCACGTTATGGTTATGTGCGTGTTTATGATACACGCAAGCAGAGACGACCGGTTCAGTTGTATGCCACAGAAGATCAAATGAGTTTTACTGCCCTAACAGCCAGAGGAAATTATATTTATACCGGCACCACTATGGGAGCCATGAAGGTAAGAAAATATAAATTTCTTCTATAAAACTAAAATTGCAACTAATTTTTCCTTTTATAACCATCCAGGCCTTTGATATACGCCGCATGAAGAATTTCGTTCATACTTACAAAGGTTTTACGGGCGGTCTTAGTGATGTTTATTTGGATGTTTCGGGCAAACATCTGGTTACCGCCTGTTTGGATCGTTATGTTCGTGTACATCATGCCGATACTTGTGTGCTACTGTATCAATGTTATGTTAAGTCTAAAGCTTCTCGTGTACTCTTACGTGAATCTTTGGAAGATCCTAATTCAAATGAAAATGATAAAGAAGCTGAAGATGATGAGGATGTAGATCAGACTAAATCCAAACAAAAGAAAAAGAAAAACTCTAAAGCAGAAGAATCGGAGGATGAAGAATATGAGGATATGTTTGAGAATATGCAAACGATATGGTGAGTCCAATGAGAAAAGTACAAAAGATAGAAAATATTTAAATGATTTTTTTTTGGAATTTAGTGACACTGAAAAGGATGATGAGGAGGAGGAAGAACAGGAAAGCAAAGAAGAATTGGAAGCGAAAGAGGAGAAAGAAAGTAAAACTGAAGATGCTAGTGATGACTCCAAAAAAGCTTTAAAACGAAAATCTTCTTTGAAAATTGTCAAGAATAAAAAGAAAAAGAATTGAGGTTCTTTAAATAATTTAGTTAATATTTTATGTTTTATTATTTCTTTTAAGAACGATTTCTGATCCTTTTATTGCATTAAAACTTTGCGCATTTTAAAGTTTACGGCCAAACGATAAGTACAATAGTAGAAAAATTCCACCACCGAAACCATGCTGAGGCCCAGACAAAGATTGAAAACGCCACCTAAGTCAGCTGCAAGAAAGAAACAAATGATTTTTTGATTGTTCTATAGACTGGTCTAGTTCTGATCTGTGGATTGGGCGATAGACTGATCTATAGTGTGATCTAGAGGTCGATCTATAGACTGGTCTATAGAGTGATCTATAGACTGATTTATAGACTGATTTATAGACTGATCTATAGACTGGTCCATAGATTGATTTATAGACTGATCTATAGACTGGTCTATAGATTGATCAATGCACTGGTCTATAGACTGATCTATAGACTGGTCTATAGACTGATCTATACAATGGTCTATAGACTGATCTATAGACTGGTCTATAGACTAGTCTTTAATCTGGTCAACAGACCCCTCTATACACTGATCTATAGACTGGTCTATAGACTGATCTATAGATTGGTCTATAGACTGATCTATTTACTGGTCTACAGACTTATCTATGCACTGGTATATAGACTAATCTATAGACTGATCTATAGACTGATCTATATGGTCTGATCCAAAGACCAATTTCCAGGTTTTATGCTGTCCTATATCCTTATATGTAAATTACATACACAACAAACCAATCCAAGACATGACGGTGACCTTATGAATGGCGGGTACTACTTGTTTGGCCAAATAAACCCGGACAATAAATGAGTCCTTAGTAAAGTTTGTATAGGAACTATAAGAATAAATTTTGAAGCAAAATAAAAAACAATTTCTATTCCAACAAGACATCACTTACTACAAAGAACTAATAGAATAATTATGCAGCAACAGATCCGTTTTATAGGCCAAAGTCGAATAAGTAACATCATAACAATTGGGCAGACATTGATCACATTTGGCGCTTTTAAAAGTGTCTGAAAATGTTTTCGTATTAGAAATTCAAAATACTTTTCTTTTGGAATAACTAACCATACTCATCCGAATAACACATGGAATCGTTAAGTTTACACTCATACTCTGCCTTGCCATTGGGCAAATGATAAGGTTGACATTTACATTTCTGCATAATGAGTTGACTTTGACAGGCCACCAGACAGGAGGCCTGACGATAACTACTTAAAGCTACATCGTCTGAAATTAAACAATCACGCTTACGTTCGGATAACTCTAAGACCTCCTTCGAGGAGCTTTGCACGGTGGGAGAAATCTCAACAAAACTTTCCGAATTTGAGGTAATGGTAACTGAGGTGGTGGACTCGGTAACAAAATCCATGGGATGATGGACCAACACGATTAAACCCGTAGAAAGATTACGTTCCGAACCCTCGACTCCAATGAACATAAGACCACCATCGACCCCGAAAATATTAGAGGAAAAGGGTACATAGGACTGATTACGAGGATTATAGTTGAACGAACAACATGGTCCCAGATAAGAAGTGGTGGGTATAAAAGATAAATATTCATGATTTTGACGACAGGGGAATTCATGACCGCCCCAAAAGCAGCGCTTAACAAAATCATCACAACTGGCACAGACCTGCATGGCGGCCTCATAGAGAGTAACATTATTGAGGCGCAAAACAGCATCGGTAGTTTCATAGGCAGTATTATTGTTATTGGGCGCCGTCCAGCCCTGATCGGTGAAGGCATTGAGATATTCAAAACCAGCGGCCACTTCCTCGATATTATATTTGTCGGGTATATCTCTAAATAAAGAAAGTTATAAGGAATTTGGAAAACTTTTTCATTTTAAACCACAACTTACAGTGTTCGTATATAACGCCTAACACGCTCCATATTCACCACTTTGGGTGAACAAATAGTCACCCCCGGAAAGGCCACATCGGTAATGGGTAAATCATTTGATATAGTATTCAATATAGGATAAGAATAGAACTTCAACCACAGCTGCAGGGATAAATAAACTCCACATAGGAATAAAATAATCATCACTGAAGACCAGCACCATCTAAAATCATTACAAAACTTAAAAAACTAATTTAAACTAAAAAATCCTTCAACCCACCTCGATATACCCTCTGTACGATGTCTCCGCAGTAACCAGATACCACTTACTCTCGTACGTCTGGTATACTCCCAAAATGTATCATCTATGGCCGCATGTAAACAACTCCACCAGCTAGAACACTTTTTCTCAGCATCTTTTTTCGTTTTACTGTTTAAAGGCATTTTCTTCAAGGTTCTATTTATTTTAACCCCCCCAAAACAAGAGAACCAAAAAACACTTGCTTGTTGTCTGTATCCTTGAAAGACTGAAATTTATTTTTGAAATTCAATTCCCTCTAGAGTAATTATATATGAAAGTGTTTGGTAGTACGTCCGTTATAAATAAAGCTTATTAATTGATTTATTTCATATAGTTTTAATTACAAATTAGTATCAGTGTCATTATTAACAATTACTGGTTTTTGGAATGGTTTTATTTTTTATGTGTTTCCTTGATTGGGAATTTGGTTTTGTTAATTGCAATACGATATGGGTTTGGTAAGGGTTGAGGTTGCCGCATTTTTTTTAAGTTTCAGGTAAATAATGGATAAAATATATTTATTGTCAAGTAAACAATATTTTTAATTACTGAAATAATGAGATAGACGAAACCAAAGAATAGACTATAGTCTGGGCAATAGAATACTCTACAATCTATCGGGCTGGAGAGTAATGTATATACATATGTATGTATATTTCAAAGTCCAGACAAAAGTGTAATCCAAACTATATTCTATTTCATCAAGACTATATACTAAAGTATTGATTAGACTACAGACCAGAATTTAAAGTAGACTAATTGCTAGACTATATACTAGACTATAGACTAGACTAGTGTTTAGTCTAGTAGTTAGTCTAACTACTAGTCTATAGTCTAGTCTATAGTCTAGTCTATAGTCTAGTCTATAGTCTAGTCTATAGTCTAGTCTAGTCTAGTCTAGTCTAGTCTAGCCTAGTCTATAGTCTAGTCTATAGTCTAGTCTATAGTCTAGTCTATAGTCTAGTCTATAGTCTTTTTTTTTTTTTTTTTTTTTTTTTTTTTTTTTGTATAGTGGAGGAGGAAACCTTACATAGGTCCCATAAAGGGTATGTCGGATTCCTACCGACTAAAACCACCTCCATCGTCAACACCACACTCCGCGGAACTGCCACCAGGTACTACTTCGCGGGGTGGTCAGCTTTGACGCTGAACTTCCTTAACTCTCAGAGTTCGTCTCCTAGGCCACGTTCTGGGCCTTGCGAATAATCTCTGCATCTCGCAGAGCTATATTTATTGAAGTTATGTACATGTTCACCAATGACCAGTTATGTTCTGATTTTAGAATTGCTTCTATTATATTGTCTGTCCTTATTTGTTCGCCAATGCACGATTCCAACCTGCTTCGTAGTCCAGAGAATTGTGGGCAATTAAAAACGACATGTTCTACTGTTTCATCTAGATCTGGGCATTTCGGGCATCTTGGTGAGTTGTCATGGCCAAACCGGTATAAATAGCTCCTATAGATACCATGTCCTGTAAGGAATTGCGTCAAATGGTAGTTCAGCTCACCATGGCGTCTATTTATCCATATATTGATGTCTGGGATTAGTTGAAAGGTCCATCGGCCCTTACTTGTACTTTCCCATCTCCTCTGCCATTCCCTCATAGTTTTCTCCCTTTCTATCCGGCTTATTTCCACCTTTGGGATATGTGGGTTTCTAGATTTCTCTTCGTAGACAGCCGATAGTTCTTTGGCTGCTAAGTCCACAGGTATTATGCCCGCTACTACATTTGCTGCTTCTGCAGAAATTGTTCTGTAACCACTACATACTCTTAGGCAGCTTCTTCTATGTATTGCAGAAATGTTTTTTCTAGATGCTTCAGATATTGCGCATTCCCAAATTGGTGCTCCATAAAGAATAACTGAGTTCGTTACCCTTGAAATTAAAATTCTTCTACTCTGTCGTGGGCCACCGATGTTTGGCATCATTCTTGCTAAGGCATTTGATACAGCTGTTGCTTTCTCACATGTATATTCTATGTGTTTCTTAAAGTTTAGGCGATCGTCAACCATTATACCTAAGTATTTAATAGATTCAGACGATTTGATTTCAGTTGTCCCCACAGTAAATGAAAGAGTCTCCCTCTTCCTCTTTCCGCTTATAAGCACTGCCTCCGTTTTATGCTCTGCAAGTTTCAGATTCATATCTTTCATCCAATTTCTAATAATTGCAATTGATTCGTTCGCATATAACTGGACTTCATTCAGGTGACGTGCTCTGACAAGGATTGCGACGTCGTCTGCGAATCCTACAACGGTCGCTTCTTCTGGGATTCTTAAGTCAAATATGCCATTGTACATAATATTCCACAGGAGTGGTCCTAGGACTGATCCTTGTGGGACACCTGATGTAATATTATACGATTCCGTACCATTGTCAGTTTCGAACCACAGTGTTCTTTTTGAGAAGTAATCCTTTATTATTGCAATAAGGTATTCGGGGACATTAAGAGATCTTAACGAGGAAATAATGTGTTTCCATCCCGCAGAATTAAAAGCATTTTTAACGTCTAGTGTAATTATGGCACAGTAATATCTATTCTTGCCTTTTCCATTGATTGCATTCTTAGCTGTTTCAGTTACGAAATTCACTGCATCAATTGTTGATCTAGCCTTTCTAAATCCATATTGCCTATCCGATAGCCCACAGGTTTCTTCTACTGCCTTTAACAGTCTCGTATAGACAATTCTTTCCAAGCATTTGCCTAAGGTGTCAAGTAGACAGATTGGTCGGTATGATTGTGGTTCACCTAATGTTTTTCCTGGTTTTGGTATCAGAATTAGTTTTTGTTTCTTCCAGATCTCGGGGAATTTCCCCTCTCTGAGACTTCTGCTGAACAGCCTGGTAAAAATCTCTGGTCTTGCTTTTAGAGCGATCTTTAAAGCCCTATTCGGAATGAAGTCAAGGCCTGGTGCTTTGTTATCGCCAATCCTTGCACAGAGGTTTATTATTTCCTCCTCTGTCACTTCTATCTCGCCTTGTTGCACGATTGAATACGGCTCTGAGTACGGTTCTCCTTCCGGGAATAGAACTGATACTATTTCTCTAATAAGGTTAGGGCATGTTATTTGGGCTGACCTCTTCCCCTTTAGCTTTGACATTACAACTCGATATGCGTTACCCCAGGGATTTGCATCGGCTTCGTTGCATAGTTCTTTAAAGCACTCGGATTTACTACGTCTAATGGCTTCTTGTAGGCCTTTCCTGGCTTCGTGATATATTTCCCTTTTAGCTATGAAGTCTGGTCTGCCTCTGCTTCTTTGGTATTTTCTTCTACTTCTCAAGCATTCGCTTCTAAGGGCTGATATATTATCATTCCACCAGTAGTTTTCTTTCCTTCTATGGTTTGATCTCTTTCTTGGCATGGACGCATCACAAGCCATCTTTAGTGCTGCTAAGACTTTTTCTGCCATATCGGATACCGGGCCATTTTCAATTTGCTGGTATGAAAAGGTTTCGGTAAAGGCTTCTTCATCGATCTTATCTTTCGCCCATCCTTGAAATTTAAATTTGTCTGATACTATACTCAATGATGTATTAGGATTAATTGTGAAAATTACAGCCTGATGGTCACTGTGAGTATAGTGTTCGCTAACATACCAATCCATTTCTTTTGATAAACTAGAGCTCACGAAGGTTATGTCGACTACTGACCCATAACCAGCTCTCCGAAAAGTGTGTGCCTGTCCTTTGTTTGCTAGAATCACGTCAAGTCTAGAAAACGCGTCCAGAAGTATTTTGCCTCTTTTGTTTGTTCTTTGGCTACCCCAATCTATTGCCCATGCATTAAAATCACCTCCTATGACAATTGGATTATGCCTATTTGCGTCGTTCACTAGGTTGTCTATTATTTGCTCGAATTCATGTTGTGGTATATTAGGTGATATATAGCAGCTATATACGAATATTCCACCGATCTTAATTCTTACGAAGCCTTCTTGTAAATGGTGCATACCTTTCTCTATTGCTTTGTTGCCGCAGGCCCACACTGCTGCTTTACCTGTTGAATCACTTTCCCAAACATTTCTCTCAAGGTTTTTGTACTGCTCGCAAACAAGGGCGACGTCAATTTGTTGTTCACAGATGGTCTGTTTTAATAGCTCCTGCGCTGCACTACAATGGTTTATATTAAGCTGAATAAACTTCATTTGTGTCTGGAACTTAACGCCTTTCTAAATATAGGACATCTATAGCTACCAGCATTGTGCTTTAGATCCGTATTCCCTCCAGCTTTACATAGCATGCAGTTCGGCTCGGCCTGACAATCCCTCACTAAATGCCCATCAAGTCCACACCTTAGACACCGATTCGATCTATCTACGTCAGATTTACAGAATCTTGAAATATGGCCAAATTCCAGACACCTAAAACACTTAGTGAGTGTAATGGTTTCTCTTATGCGACACATAGACCAACCAATTTTGATCTTTTTTAGCTTGAGGGCTTTCATTGCAGCTTCTGTTGGGAGGCTAATTTTAGCTGATTGAGTTCCTCCATAGGTCTTTCGGAGGGACTTAACAATATTTTCTCTTAGATCTGGTATACCTAGCGCTTTGGAAAAGGATTGACATATTTCTAACTTTGTAGTGATATCATCCATATCTTTACATTCAATAACAATCTCATCTATTCGTGTTTTTACATCCACTGATCCATCCAAAGATGTTTTAATTTTTTCATTAAATCTTTCTGCTAGGTTTTCGCTTCCAGACTTAAGTTCTAAAAGAAGGTCCCCTTTCTGGGTTCTTCGAATTTTGTTTACCTCATCACCTAGTTCTTTTAGTTCAGGGTCTGCCCTAATTTTCTTTAAAATATCAGCGTAAGAGATATCGTTTTTGGCAGATATTATCATAGTATCTGGCCGAGGCTTGCGGGATCTCGTATTCTTTTTCTTCTTAACTATAGCCCATCCGGCTTCTAGGTTATCCGACTCTGGCTTTCTACTAGGGAGTTCTTCTAGTGGAGTTAGTGTTGTCCTATTTTGTGGAAGGCTTTGCTTCAGTCTTTTCGGCGTCGGCATTTTTGGAGCTGTTTTGTCTTCTAAATTTCTTTTCGATTCCCTTTTGGACGGCCATGCTATTGGTGATGTCTGCATGGACTGTTCCACTTCTTGTCGTGGTGATGTCTGCGTGGACTGTTCTACTTCTTGTCGGTATGTCATATTTATACCATTACGTAGTTCTTCTCTTGTTTTATTATACATAGCTCGGATTGCGGTCAATTG